CCAACGACTCCTCAAGCCTCAAAACTCTGCCTAAATGTTCATTTTGTAGGTACGAGCTGAAATGGTGAAGTGCTTCCCCATGCCCACCTCCCTGGGGTGGTGTGTAAGACTGAGGGCATAACTATCCACATAAGCATATACTTAATCTGCTGTATATTTAGAGATTCCAGTTCTGAAACTACCTAGGGAGTGAGCATCATGCATAAATACAAACCTGTGTAAGATACATCATATAAAGATTAAACCTTATGCTATGTTGTTTTTACTGTTGAAGCTGGTATTTTTCATTACTCCATTGCACTTACATCAGTTCAAATGATCCTGCACTCATTCAGGCACAGACATACCCCTTGTACAACATACATCACAAAAGCAGAATGGGAATGCAAACACCCTCAGGCCAGGCTCCCAAACAAGTCTCCTCCTTGTTTCTTTATATGGATTTTACCTTTGACTTTTTTTTCTAATTTTAATTGAATGGAATAACCTTAGTAAGCACATTAGGAAGATAAGAGTGGCAGACAGTAAAAGAAAGTCTGTCATAGGGTCAGACACTGGTATAGAAATCATTAAAATAGTCACATCAAAAAATTTCACTTTAAATGGACAGTAAGTACATTAGCCTGAGCCTTCATAATCCTCCAGTAGCTTTCAGTCCTGTTTTGTATCAACTCTGCTTTAGTGAAGCAACTTTTTACATTTGTGTAACTTATCAGTTCTCACAAAACACTTGCTTGCTCATCCACACACTCTAAATATGACACTTGCTAAGCTTAGACTCACCAATGAAATGCATCAGTGGTGCACAGTTCATCTACCAGTCTTACCTTCACAATTAGCAACATTTTGATTCTTGAGCCATTTTGGAACACCCACCTTTTAGTATACGTATACCTGCTTTTACCTCCCATGAAAACCAAGATATAAAAGCACGGGGGAGGGCTAGGGAAACAGGTTTTGGTTCTAGGTCATGAATGTACCTAAAAATTCAAAATTCAGAGTCCATCTCCCTTAACAGGTTATATTTTTCTTTAAATACAACAAATTTGTTCCCCATATTCAGTTTTGCAGGGGCATTATGAAAAGATATGAAATGAATTATTTCCTAACAAATGTTCCATTGTGTGGTGGTACATTTCTCCCCACTGGACTGCTCTTTGATCTCAGGAATTCCCATCAGGCTTTGGCCTTCATGTAACTAGTTGGGTGTTCAAGCACCTGTATGAGGCACTCTTGCAGGGGAGGCACTGGCTGTACCAGAGATTCCTGTTGCCTGGCCAAGGTGGAAAAGCAAGGGCAGGGATAACCAGTCATCCCCGGACAACCTTGCAACATTCCTTCCCTCAGTCATACCCTGAGTGGAACAGATACTATTGTTACTCGACTGCTGAAAAATTTCTAGTAGTTACCATCTCAGAATGAGGCCAAGATGGAAACTTACTCATGACTAAAGCCAATCATTTCATGACCCTATAAGCAGTGGTCCAAAGTGAGGCCCTTTGGGCACTCCTGGATTACAGTGGGCTGCAACTAGCATCTCTCCCTGAATGGGTTGCCCCTAGAGCTCACACTCAAGTTTGTGACAACCAGAGGACCATCGCTGTCAGCAACAAATGGGAGCTGGGCTGAAGACTCCCTACTTCTTGAGGCTCAACCCTTGCCCCTTGAGAAATGCAGAGACATTTGATGTAAATATTTCACTGAACCTCAGGGGAATTTTTAATGGGTACCTTTATATGTCTCTGTATCTGCATGTAAATTGATTGAGAGACCACATAGCAAGTGTAGTAAATCCTACTGACTGACTATGCAAAATGTTAAAACCACAGACTGCTGCTCAGTCAAAGCTGTGTAAAAATCCCATCTGTGGTGAACTGGCACACATGTAACCCTTCAGATATAAACCACTGACCAAGTCTGAGATTAAGACTAGACCTAATTGCGCCTAAGCTCCACCAGAAGTTTACAAAGCAAGGGGGTCCACTCCAAACCTCTTACCTCAATGGGAGGGTCTCCCTTACACTTTTGTACCTTTGGTCTCTGTAATAATTATAGCTTGATTTTACCTTGATTTTCCTTTGTATGTTTTATCCACGTAGTAAATAATGGAGTGAGCCTTACCATCAAGCTTTGTTAAGTCACACTCTTATAAATTCATATTAAAGCTACTCTTCACAATAGCTTTGATGGTGATTCTTTGAGTGACTCTAAACCACCCATTACATGACACATTGAGATGGAACTACAGCAATGTGTGCTGATAACTTGTATAATACAGTCTACAGTCTACAGTCTGTAGTATCAGAGACTTCAGAAACTTATGTAATTCAGTAACAAAACCAGTTGCTAAAGTGGAAAAATACAAGGCTTCTGATAGTTTCACTGTACATTAGTAAACTGCATAGTCAATTATATTTTCGCTGTCTGCTTGTATTTATTGTAGGTTCAAACACACATATTATCTCATGTTACTATGAACAGTTATTTATGTTTCACTAGAACTTTTTGTAAGAACAAATTAAAAGTTCAGGAAATCTTTTTAAAATTCTTGTTTCAGTTCAGGTTAATCTCCTGTCTAGTCCTTGCTATAAAGCGTAGAAATGTAAATAAAGTAAATGATGTATCACTGGAGGAATTTACTAAATGCTACACTGGAAGTAGAGACTTACAGAAACAGCTCAGAAAGCAGAAATTATGGTAACTATATGTGGATTGATCTGAAACTAGGAAACCTGCCACCTACAATTCACAGGAGAAACAGTCAATATGTTTTTTCTACAGTTACAGCAATTCTGGAAAACCTGGAAAGTATTTATTTCTCACTAAACTTTCCCTTTGTAGAAAGCATTTTCAATAAATAGAAAAATGCATTTTTCCAGTAGAAACAAGAACTGGAAGTTCATCAAGCCAGGTAAGGGATTTCAGTAGGTTCACTAACTGATCCAACTTATTCTGGATCTTTGTTGATGGACACTGGTTTGCAGTAATTCATTCTGCAGAACTCCATGGCCCAATTTTCTAAAGCAGGCTTACCTACGTAAAGGATGCAGGATTCCATTTTTTCCAAGATCAGATATAAATATGCCAAAATATGGATCCTAAAACCTAAACTACTTAGAGCACCCTTTGGCTGTGATTTGTCAGTTCTTTCATTACCAGTCACCCACCCTACCATACTCAGCAGCCAGCTTAATGCAAATTATAATAAAACAAAACTTCACTAATGAAGGATAATTTTCTAAAACTAATTTTGTATAAAAAGTGTAAGAGAATTCCACACTGTTGAACTAATTATAAACAATCAATAATTTGTGGCCTGCCACATAACTAGCCAATGCTCTTAATATCTCATCTTCCAAGACTAGAACCTGCTTTAGAGATGCTTTTCCTCAATCTTGCTTTCTTCCGAATTGGCCCTGTTGATAGTAATCACAAGTTTTGAGAATGCAAACAATGATCCTAATGCTGTTATGGAACACTACATCATATTTTGCATAAGCTACAAAGAAACTACATGAATAGATACCAACAGTGTTTGTGAGCTGAAAGTAACCATTTCTGAGTGTATTTATTGTGGGAAAGGCACAATTAAGTTCTGTCAGATTGTTCCTGCACACGACTAAGATGGTGCCTGTACTTTGAAGCAAAACTTCACAAAACATATTACTACATTAAGATACAAGTTAAGTGATTTGGCTTGTGAATGGTTTTAATATCTGGTGTAATTTATAAAAAGAAAAACAACAAGAGTTTCCAGGGCCTGACCTTTCCTCCCAACGAATTAATGCAAAGTCCATTACTAACTTCAAAAGACCGCTCTT